AAAAATGTAGGATAAAGACATTGAGGCAGTAAAAATGAAGCTTCACAATGAAGTCATCCAAACTTTTCAAAATGTAAGATATGTACCTTCTGCTACATCTAAAGTAATTTCATTGGTAGAGATGACATTACAAGGTTACATGTGTGTTGGTTTAAAATGGGGGTGCAAAGTATATAAGGGAAGATGCTTGATATTGTGACGGCAAAAAAATAAGAAAAATCTTTGCTACTTAAAAGAACAAGTTTTGAGAAAAAAAATGCTTTGATCAACTAATTATTTAAAATTTTAAATTAAGAAATGATTTGTCAAGAGAATAATTCAAATTTCAAATAAATTGAGTGAGTGGAAGGAGTTCTTTTTGGAATTATCACTAGTGGAAAAAAGACTTTTAAAATCGGTTATTTTTAACTTTTAAAATCGGTTCCGTAACCGATTTTGAAAGAGCCGATTTTAAAAGTTAGACTTTTAATATCGGTTAAACAACCGATTTTAAAAGTTAACTTTTAAGATCAGTTGTTTTATAACCGATCTTAAAAGGTTGGACGGTGAAAAAAATTAAACTGGAACGGGCCATTCCAGGCTTTTCAAAAGGCCAAAAAGTTTAGTTTCAGTACATGCTTGGAGAATGGCTCGTTCTCCATTCAGAACGGCCTGTACTGCAAGGAGAACAACCCGTTCTCATTGCAGAACGGCCCATTCTCCTTATAGAACGGGTCGTTCCAGGTTCGCAATTTACCCAAACTGAACCTACAACGAAAATAGAGACGAGAAGAGCATGAGAAAAACGAAAAGAGACATAAGAAGAACATGAGAAGACGAAAATGAAAACGAAAATGACAACGAAATTTACCTTATTGAAGACTTTAGAAAATGAAAGCGTCAGAGAGTAAAGAAAGGAATGGAGGGAAAGATTAAAGAGAATGAGAATGATGGGGAATATAAAAGATTCCTGACGATACTTTTAAAATTGGTTGTTTAAGAACCGATTTTGTATACGACATACAAAATCGGTTCTGAAATAACCGATTTTAAAAGTAGCACTTTTAAGATCGGTTATTTTATGACCGATCTTAAAAGTGACACTTTTAAGATCGATTCTTTTGTAACTGATCTTAAAAGTTGTGTCAGACATACCTTTTAAGATCGGTCATAAAATAACCGATCTTAAAAGTACTTTTAAGATCGGTTAAATTTTAACCGATCTTAAAAGTGTTCATGTTATTTACAAAATTGCCACCGCGTCACTTTTAAGATTGATTATCTTATAACCGATCTTAAAACTCCGATTTTAAATCCAATTTTTACACTAGTGTATAGTCTTTAGAATATTTTTTAGATTTACATATTTTATCAATTTATTTTAACAGGATTTGTTTCCTTTTTTAATTAGGATGATTATAGTATTTGAATTTATGTTATGGTTTTGTTTTATATATAATGTAAAAAAAAATAACAATGTATTTCATTCTTAGATACATAGGTATTCTTATTATGTTTTTCCCATCAATTTCCTGTATACATGCATGGGATATTGGATGAATATAAGGATAAAACTCTTTCAAAAATGAGAAAGCCTCTAAAGTGCATATATAAGTGATGGTTTATCCACACCAGAATTAAAGTGACTTTAGTTTGTGAAACATTTTGATTTAAGAAATTAAAACTTGTATATTTTAGAACTTGATACTAGAAAGTGTATAACAACTCACATTCAGTACTACTGGTCAACTCATTAATAAACTCTCTTAATAAAAACATGTTCTCAATTTAAAGCTACGTACGCTTGGACGGTTAATGACAAATATAATATATGAGGGGCAAAAACTAAAAATACGTATAATGATGTAAAATAAAGTTTGCATCCTATTTTTTAAAAATATTTTTATGATGGAATGGGAAAAAATAGGAATTCGTATGCTTTTTTTTTTTATAATAAATATATAATATTTTTATATAAAATTATTTGAAAAATTAACTGAAAAAAGATTATGAAAAACATTTTGATAAATACATAGTGAGTAATAATGTGTAGATTTTAATATTTGTAAACTTTAACTCATGTATTACATTATTTGAAGTTAAATATTTAAATAGTTAAAAACAATTAGTCCTTCTAATATGTTTCAGGATCCGTTCCTGTTTTTATGAACATTTCATCATGTTATATATATATTAGATTCGACTCTTATAAAAATGATAAAAATGTGCAAATTAAAAAATAAAAAAATAAAAAGATGTATGTTTCTTTGATTTTGACTAAAATATCTTGTAATTAACCAACTAACCTTAAATCAACAATATACAAGTACACATACACTATTATTAAAAAAATTTATATCTTATATTTTCTCCACTTTAAAAAATAGATCATATCTTAATAATTAAATGAAATACAATAGCATTGAATTTTTGTTTTATTATTTTCATGAATCCAAAGTGAGTGTAATAAACTGTTATGAAACCAAAACCGTAAAGCGTAGACTCTTGGAGCGCAGACAAATTGTCGGGTTGAGATAACTTTATTGGTAAAAGGTGTAGGGGAATTAAGTTACAATTAGCGATAAGGCTACGTTGCATTCGGAGCTTTGTGTTCACAAACCACGAGATTCGTATCAAATAATTCGTTGATGGATCCGATGCAACTTTGTGATTATGTGAGCCACGACCCACGAGAGGGTCAAACATGATTAATAGTAGTAATCACTTTTTAATGAACCAGCTAGATAGCTTAATTATATCAAACCTCGTCTCACTTAACGGCTATCATTTCAACAAGAATAACCTTCGATCATGTCCAAACTCATCTCGTGCTTCACGATCCTATCAAAAAAGATATACTCAATAATTAGTATTGTACTACTACTTCACTATTATTTTTTTAAAAATTGATCATGAATTTGATCTTTGAAAAGTTTTGGGTCGTTTGTTTTACTTGATGGTGAAAAATTAATGAGATTATGGGCATGATATGAGAATTCCATTCCATGTGTCCTCTAGCTAGCAGCCGCCATGCACACCATCCCAAGTCGTAGGGTACGTAATTTCTCCTACGTAGACCAAAAATCATCATATATACTATTTCATGTTTGTAGCATTGTTGAAAATGGTACCAAAGTGAAGATCTTCTTCACAAGTTGCTCATAAGTGAAAACACGCGATGGAGCACTTGGAAATAGTACTACTACTGTTTTCCATGGCACAATCTCGTGTTGCACATGCCATTCCATTATCATCTCCTTCTCCGAAATTCATGTGCGCCAAAAGAAAACGTTTATTGGTTTTGGAATCATGTCAAAGGATTATTTCATGTTTGTCGTTATTTAGGCAATTAGAAATTGTGAAATCACTATTGCAAGGTTGTTATAGATATTTCAGGTGAAGATTTTTACTTGGTTCAACAGTTTCTAAATGTTCAAAGGGATATTCTGGAAGCAGGATTGTGATCGTGGTTTTAATTGAATTTTTTTAAAAAAAAATTATTTTAATTTAATAATTAAGAATAATCATTTTATTCTTACCAAAGATGATGGTAATTATGATGATTGTTATTATTATTATTATATGGATAATTTTAATCAAGTGTAAGTATTTTTTATTTACTTATAATGTATGAAGAAATGAAATTGTGTGTAAGGAGTATAAAAGATTATAAGTTGTTTGGTAAATATTTAAAGGTCGTTTTTCTAATTTTTATTCCAAAAAATATAACAAAACTTTTGTCAAGGTGTGATTTTAGGGTTTAGGGTTTTAAAAAAATTAACTAATTTTAAAGTTAACTGTTGTGGGTTATGTTCAGACTGTTCTGGGCCAGTCTAAAAGTAAGATATTTTATAAGTATATAAATTGTGGTTCAGTTCATGATACAGTAGAAACTCTTTAAATTAATAATGTCAGGACCAGAGAAATTTATTAATTTAGAGAGTTATTAATTTATCGATAAATTAATAATTATTAATTTAAAGAGGATGACAGCGAAGATGATACAGTGTCTTTGGAGCCTGTTACGCGAAAGGAAGCACTTATGGCGTTGAACACTCTTCACAACTTTATGATACAATACAAAAATACAACACCTGAGCTACTGGATGCAATAAGAAAAGTTAGAGATGAGCTCCAAATAGACTTGAACTTTAAAGGAAAACAAACAACTATTGAATCATATTTCAATAGAGTGTAATATTTTTTTTTCAGTTTCTATGAATTATTAATTTATGATTTTCTTGGGACCGAAAATTATAAAGGGATCTCCCGAAAAATTATTATCTTATTATTTTATCGAGTTTTTCAATTTTTTACATTGGTTCAAGTCGGGACCGGACAAAATTATTATTTTAGAGAGTTTATTAATTTACCGAGTATTAATTTAAAGAGTTTCTACTGTATATACACCTCCTTTTTGTTATAAGTACACTTCCATTTTAAAAAAATAATTAAATTTTTAAAAAAAATTAATTTTTTAAATTTTTTTTAATTTTACATCCACAATATTTAATTTAGTACTTTTTTTTCACACATCATTCCTCTTTTTTTCAATTTTTACATGCACTCCCTTTACCTTTCTTTCACCCTATCTATTTTGGTAGTATGTAAAAATTAAAAGAGAAAAAAAAAAGTGTAATAAAAAGAAAATAACAAATTGAAAGTTGGAGGTGTAAAATTAAAAAAAATTTAAAAAAATTATAATATTTTATAATTTTTTTAAAATAATAAAGGAGATGTATTATAAAAAAGGAGGTGTATATATCATGAGCCTAAATTGTCCATGTTGTTAACATTTAATGCTTTTTTTTTTGTTTTTGCTCTTGACACTCATCCCTTTCCCACGGCCCACGGCCCAGTCCATTCTTAAATCCAGAAAGGTTTACAAACTCTACCAGCAAAATCACGACCCACAACAAAAACGTCCATCTACAAGTCCAACCCAAAAAAATAACTTACTATATTTTTCCCAATTTGAAAATCAAAATATCTCCAATGAGAAAATTCAGATGTGTTTTTTTTGTAGGAACAGGGTACCTCATTTTTCAATTTAGATAAGGTTACAAAATAATATCCTCCAACAGGTTAGTAGCCAAAGCACAACTATGGCTACTCCACTCTCCACCATCGTGGATGTGTACTTCACAGACAGCAAAAGAACAAGGTTGAGCATCACCACCACCACCCCTAGAAGATTTTTCATACACTGCACCACTTCCAATTCCATTCCAGAAGCTCCTCCCGCACCAGCTTCAGATAACAACAAGAGCAAGAGCAAGAACAAGAACAAGAAGAACACTTCCCTGTCCGACCAACTCGCACCCCTTGCCAACAAGACCCTATCTTCCACCACACGAGACCAACCCTACGCGTTTTCCAAGCCCAAATCCACGTGGGTCAACCCCACCAAGGCCAAACGCAATGTCTTGTCCCCTCAGAGGCAAAAACGCGATTTTTACTCTCACAGTCCACAGTTGAGGGATTTGAAACTCTTTGTTCAGAAGCTCAATGAGTGTGATAAGTCTTCCGAAGCTGAATTTTTAACTTCTTTGGAGGAAATCCCGCGTCCCCTTACTAGAGAAAACGCTCTTTTGATACTAAACACGTTGAAGCCATGGCAGAAGACTCTCCTTTTTCTGAATTGGGTCAAGACCCAGAATTTGCTTCCCATGGAAACCATATTCTACAATGTCACAATGAAGTCTTTGCGGTTTGGGAAGCAGTTTGCTTTGATTGAAGACCTTGCCCGCCAGATGATCGACACTGGGGTTGAACTTGATAACATCACATACTCCACCATCATTTCATGTGCCAAGAAGTGCAACCTCTTTGACAAGGCTGTGCACTGGTTTGAGAGAATGTACAAGACCGGTTTGATGCCTGATGAGGTAACTTACTCTGCTATCTTAGATGTTTATGCTAGGTTAGGCAAGGTTGAGGAGGTGATAAGTTTGTATGAGAGAGGTAGGGCTAGTGGGTGGCAGCCTGATCCTATTGCATTCTCTGTGTTGGGGAAGATGTTTGGTGAGGCTGGGGACTATGATGGCATTAGGTATGTGTTTCAAGAGATGGAGTCTGTTGGGGTGCAGCCTAATTTGGTTGTGTACAACACGTTGTTGGAGGCAATGGGGAAGGCTGGGAAGCCAGGGTTTGCAAGGAGCCTGTTTGAGGAAATGCTTGAGTCGGGGATCGCACCGAATGAGAAGACTCTGACCGCGGTTATCAAGATATACGGCAAGGCGAGGTGGTCTCGTGATGCGTTGGAGCTGTGGCGACGAATGAAGGAGAATGGCTGGCCTATGGATTTCATCTTGTATAACACATTGTTGAATATGTGTGCTGATGTTGGACTGGTGGAGGAAGCTGAAGCATTGTTCAGGGACATGAAGCAGTCTGAGCATTGCAAGCCAGACAGTTGGAGTTACACGGCGATGCTCAACATTTATGGGAGTCAAGGAGATGTTGATAAGGCAATGAAGTTGTTTGAGGAGATGTGTAAGTTGGGTGTGGAACTCAATGTAATGGGGTTTACCTGTATGATTCAGTGCTTGGGAAGGGCTATGGAATTTGATGGTTTGGTGAGAGTCTATGACATTTCAGTTGAGAGAGGGATTAAGCCAGATGATAGGCTGTGTGGTTGCTTGCTATCTGTTGTGTCTCTGTCTCAGGGTAGCAAGGATGAGGGGAAAGTCCTTGGTTGTTTGCAGCGAGCTAACCCAAAATTGGTTGCTTTTATTCGGTTGGTTGAAGATGAAAAAACTAGTTTTGAGACTGTAAAGGAGGAGTTCAAGGGTATCATGAGCAATGCAGCGGTTGAAGTGAGAAGACCCTTTTGTAACTGCTTGATTGACATATGTAGAAACAAAGATCTTCTAGGGAGAGCTCATGAGCTACTCTACTTGGGAACCTTGTATGGATTCTACCCAGCTTTACACAACAAAACTGACGAAGAATGGTGTTTAGACGTTCGATCATTGTCAGTTGGTGCAGCTCTAACTGCACTAGAAGAGTGGATGTGGACACTCACCAAAATTGTTAAGAGGGAGGAGAAACTGCCAGAGTTATTCCTGGCACAAACTGGTACTGGTGCTCATAAGTTTGCACAAGGACTTAACATTTCCTTTGCCTCTCATTTGAGGAAGTTAGCTGCTCCATTTAAGCAGAGTGAGGAAAAAGTTGGTTGTTTCATTGCAACCAGAGAGGATTTAGTCTCTTGGGTGCTATCAAAGTCTACAGCAGCTTCTGCTACATGATGATGGTGGGAAAGCTCAAGTGACATTCACCTTGTACGTTGTGGCTAATATATAACACAATGATACTTGCAAGCCTATTTACCACTTGAAATATCGAGATGTTAAGTGTTGAAACCAGAGATGGGATGTATAATCTTCCCCTCATTTCTTAGAATGTAAACACGTCCTGAAATTTACTATTCTTTTTTATTTCTCTTCATGTTGTCGCTCTCCTTAAAGTCTGGGGCAAAGGCTGGATGCATTCTGCCATGAATCTACTATTATGCAAATTGTTTCGAGTCTTATCTCGCGAGCTAAATTGTATCTAATATTAATAAATGCTAGAAATTCAAATACAACATATTCATCAGGGACGGGTGTATGTTGAGTGCAATGGGGCAAATTGCCCCACAAAGTTTCACATTTTATTTATATATACTTAAAAAATATTTTTTTATCCCCCAAAAATAATTAAAAATTGTCTGATAAAAGAATTTTCATTTAAATGAGCACAAAAAATTATAAAAGATAAAAAAAAATTAGTACTAATTTTATTACTTTTAACCTAATAATTTTATCACTTTACTTTTTTTATCCATAGAAATTATAATGATAATAATAATATGAACTTAAGATCTAGTACACATTATTTCAATCTTTGACTAGTAACGTGATCTTAGTAGTTTAATTTAACTTCTTTAATATTAAACAAGTTATAAAAAAATTACAAATAAAATAAAAACCTTAATATAGTATGAAACAAAGGGAAAAAATGAGAAATTGTCACTCTAGTCACTAAACAATCCAAATTTATAAAAATAAAAAAAAATAAAAAAGGTATTTTAAATGATTTTATCATAAAAATATGTATTTTGTAAAAATTTATTATATTTTTTTATATATATAAATATTATAGGCTATTTTTTTTGCCCCCACAAAAGATTTTCTAGATCCGTCACTAACTCATTGATCTTAATGAGCAAAAAAACAATCACCAACTCAAACTGAAATAAAAAAAAATCAACAATTGTCTTATAAATTAGATAGTAAAACATTAACTTTCCCAAATCCTTAATTAAACATACTTAGACTCTATTTAGATATTAGTTAACAGTATTTTTAAGAGTTTTTTTACTGAAAAATAAAAAATACTTTTTAGAAGAAAAATTATCCAAAACATTTCTAAATTTGTATCTAAACATGTTTTTACTATTCTTACATTTCTCCCTTTAACAAACATTTCACTCTACCATTGCAATTAATTAAAAAATAGTAATTTAATTATAATAAGATACTACTGACCCCATTTATGCATAATAATTTAGAAAAAATCTAACAAAATAAATTTAATATTAGGCACAAAATTTAATTAATATCTATGTTACAATAACATAAAATAGTTAACAGTAAAAATTAACAATAAGAACTAAAAAATTAAAAATATAAAAACTAAAAAAGATTGAAAAAAATAAAAATAAAACCTAAATATCTATTTTAAATCGTAGAAACTAAAAGATAAAATAAGTAAAATTTAAAAACTAAAAAAATATGCTACCCTTTATATATTTAATCTTCCTAATTATTTATTCCAGTCATCTTTGCATTTTTAAGTCTAAATTAAATTTTAATAATTTTTTTAAAAAATCAATAGTTACAAATAATCATAAATTTTAATTTAAATTACTCATTATAAACTTAAAATATAATATATATATATTTTATATCGTGCATGTTAACAAGGGATGGCAAAAATACCTGCACCCGCGAGTATCTGCCGGTAAAATTCGCTACGGATAATAAATAGATAGGCTAATTGGATACCCACGGATAATGGGAACGAATAATTTTTTACCCGTTTATAAACGGGGCGAGGGCGGGTATGATGATATCCATACTCACGGGTACCCGTTTAATAATATTTCTTAAATATCTTAATTATCCTTGTACCACATAACCCTAAAACTATACTCACTCATCTTATTTTCTTTTCATAGCCGCACAGCCCACACATTAGTCATCACAATAAGATTCATATATTTTAAGTTGTTTACTTTCGTTTGGAATTATAAAATTGAATTATTGTAGTTTTCTGATATGGGACTTTTACTTGTAAGATTGATATATTTTAAACTATTGATTATCTTCCATTTTTATTATTATTTTAAAAAATTAACGTTAAATACAAGTTCAAAATTAACATTAAATTTTTATTTTTAATATTTTAATGACATTAAATATAAAATTAAAATTATTTCTAATATAATTTTTTTAATTTTTTAAAAAATTTATAAATATCCATAAATATTCGTAAGTATTCAAGAAATTCATAAATACTCACTTAATAAATACTTGCACAAATAGGTATGGAACTAACTTTCACCCCACAAGGCAGTAACGAATTTACTGTTACCCGCCATAAGCCCATTGCCATTCCTATTGTTAACGATGTTAAAATTCATTGCAATTAGTTTCCGAAAAGACGGTCTATTTCTGAGTTGTGTAATGAATCACATACAAATATTAATTAACAATTAATGTATGAATTCTTCGCGATTATTTTACAAAGTGTAATCGCTTTCATTCTGCAATGCACTGGTCTGAGTAAGAGATCTCTAATTCGGAATAATCATGTTAATTCGCAATGGTGGACATCCACTCTCCGTTAATGATCGTCATTTCTGACTAAGGACTGAAAGAGTTCAATGAGTACACTTGCCTAGTATCCCCGCCCATATACACCCATGTTTTCTAGGCTGTGCCCGAGAAAGAAAAGAAAAGAAAAATGAAAATAAATGGAAAGGGCATTGGCTTTGCAAAATTTGTATCATTTTTCATCTCTATAGATGCAAAAAAAAAAAGGGAAGAGGGAATAGTGCTGTGAATGGAAAAAGAACAGAGGCTTTACGTTTACTTTTGTTTTGACTCCTCAACAGTATTCCCAAAGGCCCATCTGCAATACCTGTTCTTAGCTCATACCAAATTGACTTTGGCTTTCTTTAATTCTCGATAGAGCTAGAGAGCGGTAGCCTTTTGCCAGTAAAATCTGAGATTCCTCAGTTGATAATTTTTAATGCTGTAAGATCGCGAAAAACACAGCCAGACCCATGAAAAATGGATCGGCTTTGAAACATCGGCATTGGCTTCATGGCACACTCAGGTACAAAAATGTTATCACATGCATAGAGCCAACAGCATGTTGAAGGTCATTGTCTCATGGATACTTCCCTGAAGATTTCCAGATTCTCCCTTCAAGTGATATCACCATGACAGTAACATCATCATGATACTTCCTCCGGTCTCCTTGTGGGATATCCAGCAATTCATGAAAATCCATTCCTGCCACATCAATCCAAAATCACCACTCTAAATGTGGGCGGTGTATACATAATAGTTGGCAAGCCAAAATATTATCCCCAACCCCAGGCAGGTTGAAAAGTGAAAAACACCTTACTAGCATTAAAAGTATTTCAAAATAAGCTTTATCCAAATAAAGAACTTAACAAAACTATACAAACAAAAGCAGCCAGACACGGAAACCCACCTGAATTTAAAGTTAATACCTCAGCCTAACACTGAAATCATATGAAAAACAAAGGAGAATGACAAAGCTGGATATTAACTTAAATAGTCCTTTCGAAATTGACTGTAAAACTCATTGAGGAAAGAATTTATAAGTCCACAAAAGAGATGAGATTTTTATGAGTGAAATATATAACTATGAAAGAGCTGTCACCTTTCTAAACAAGGGAAATGACGTAGTAGATGTGCTAAAGCTACAAACTATTAAGGCAGTGGACAAGACGCTCCAGAGAAAGGAAAATATTAACATAATATAGACAAGGAGTACTACCAACACACTCTTCATGATATACCCTCTCTTAGTTAGATTTATTGAAAATCACAAAATCAGGAGAGAGGAACATATAATAGGGTATGAGATCTACCAACTTTGTATTTTTAAATATATTTTAACTAATTAAAGTGTGTATTAAAAAGAGTGACTGTGTTCCTAGCATTTCTCTAATATACCAAAAAGACGACATATTTCTCTTGGGCACATAACATTTTTAATAGAAAATCTTAAGAAAAAGAAGAAATAATTACAGATCTCCCAACACCAAATGTGTGTGTGAGCAGGAGGGGATTCAAATCCGTCAAAATGTATAACTCTCCAAGCTTTACTCTTTTACTTCTGAAAATTTATCATCAGTTTGTTCTTCAAGAAAAATCTAGTTAAAACATATCTTCAAAAAAATAGAGAGAGATATGAGTTCATATATGAACATTACGAAGACAAAAAGCTTTTAAATTAATTCACGCATGAAAACAATTACTAATTATATTCACTTTGCTTGCCCCTTTTGTCACTCAACAAATTGCACTTTGCAGATTGCACATGTCTAACAAGATTGCAAAACAAGAAAGATGCACAAGGTCAGAAGATTCATTTACCAGCCTTCTTAGCAGCACGGAGGAGCACCTCTTCTATTAAATGTTGGGCTGGATCTCCTTCTGGAAATTTTTCCATGAAGCTCTCAACATGAGAAACCACTTCTTCATTGTTTAGATATTGATATAAACCATCAGATGAGAGGATCATGAACTGATCTCTCTGGCCTAATCTATGGTGACGTAGTGAAGGAGAGCAGGATATATATGGAGCAGTGCCAATATATTCATTACGAAACATCTCTAGTACTGCATCATTCCACTTCGGCTATGGAAAAATTCAATTCATACAATCATATTAGAATACATTTATGTCAAATATTTGAGAAAAATATAAACAATCAGGCATCTAATTTTGTATGTAGGTGACAATCAGCACATGCAGCAGTATCATAAGCATAACAAATGTGAGTTTGACGACAAACAAATTATTTTAATGCAATAATGAATGTCAATGTCAGCATGTTCTCCCAACAATTGGCTTTACTAACTCTTACACGTCTTCCCAATTTTATCAATCAGGAGTGTATTGCAAGACTGGGGTCTAATTGCATGTTGAGATTAGATTATTTTAGAAGAAAAAATCCCTTTTATTTTTTGTAGCTTCCTTATCTTAGATAGCTCTAGAGGGAACAAGAAAGTGTTCAATTCTCCTAAAATAAATAGTTTCAAAACACACTATAAATGGTTGGACACTTTAGCTTACATCCTATACAGCTCATCATAGAGTATTACAGACTTATAGAATAAAAGGAAAACTTTTAAAATAAACTAAATTAACATGACAAGTTTTGCAATTTTACCATTTCATTTATGGTTAAGTATGCGATAGTGTTTTAAATTGTGAAAG